TATGTGATTAATCGCGATTAATCGTTTGACAGCACTGATATATATATATACACAGGGTGCGATTTGTGAAAAAACCAGAGGGGGATGCTTTTGAAAACTTTTTATTAAATGTTTTTAATACGACAGAAACTGTATTTAACGTGATCACACTTTAATAAAAACATTGTACGTTAGGCCTATTAATTGTAATGATTTCATTTCCATGGTTATTCAAACAACGAATAAATTATATAGAGAAAGCAGGCAAAGAACACAACGGAGCTTTTTTAAACTCCGAATCAGTTAAACCATTGCGTCGCAAAATGATTCACTGTTTCACTGCTTCAATTGGCTCGCGTATCACGAATCATTTGATTCAGATTGGGACGTCGGAGCGGGTTCGCGGGATGTTTTTATATAAAAATACTTCAGCAGAGGCAGGGATGCATAGACCAGAGGGGGAAAATCCCCTTAATACTTCATTTAATGCTTATTTTATTTCAAGTAAAGAATGTTTTTTATGGTTTTAGTTTTAGTGAACAATAGTAACTCTGGTCTGATGTTCCGTGTTTCGCTGAGCACTTCCTGTGTGCTCTGCTCACCAGGTGACATCATCCTCTGCTGTCTCTGCTCCTTCAGCAGGAGGTGTTGCAGGAGCGCCTGCTGCCCGTTGCTCACTTTAGCCTCCATGGAGATGGGAGACGTGGCGGCCGCGAGACCTTCTGCGCTCCGATCCTTCAGCGCCGTTCCCGTCTGAAACAGACAGATCGCACAAACACTATTAATATTCAACCTTTTCCTATTTTTTGCATTTAGACACAAATTTCCACTCAAGCATGAGTGAGACTTACATAACACCAGCATATGAAATATTAATATCTGTGCTGTTTTAAAACACATCCAGTCGGCGTTCGCGTCCGGCGTCGTCCATAATTTGCCCGTTATTATCGAGCCGCGTTTAGAGCTCCCTAGTGAGTCATTCAGCTATTTTAAAATGTGAAAGTGTTGAAAGTATTCGGTAAGAGTGATCCGTGTTTTGATTTTCTGGCATGTTATGCGCTTTCCTGACAGCATTTCTTCACGTTTTTAACAGCCAGTGATGAACGAGATGCTAAACTCACGCCTTGAAACCCTAAACCGAGGGCCTGTTTATCTAAGGGCTAAAGATCCCGCGGGTCAGAGGTCACGAGCCCCATTAATCCACACAAGCACTCAGTGAAAGCGGAAAATGAGACGTGCTCCTAAACCCTCCGCAAACAGCAGCTCATCTCTGTGAAAACACGGCTCATCTCTGCGCTCTATAACGAGGATCGTCTCAGCGCTGTCTCCTAACACACGGCACATTCCTCATACAGTATTTTGTGTTTTCACCGCAAATAGATGCGACTCTGTGTCTCACTGTCTCCTAAAAATACCTTGCTTTTTCTGCAGGATCTATTCATATCTGTTGCGCAGCAGAAGAAGAGCCAGCGATGCTGCTTTTGTCTTTAGGCCACATATTTCTCAGAGGTTGCTCTTTCAAAGCTCATGAGACCTTGTCTCCAGATTGTTCTCTTCTTGAACGAGCTGAAAGTTGTCTTACAGTAAGAGTATAGAGTTATATAATGAACGCGGAAAGCAGCAGGGAACAGTATTTGATGAAAAATGTCTGAGCTCAAAGTGAGATCTCTTGACTTTTCATTGCATACTTGTGTATCGTGTGAACTCTTGAGTGCAGTTTGAGACATTAGATGCATAATTTGCGTACTTGTGCACAATTCTGTGCTGTTTTGTAGTATAAACAGTGTGATTAGTGTGTTCATGCTGAAATTTCCGACAAGAAAAAGTAAAAGTGCACTTTAAATACCCAGATGATGCATTTAAATATCCGAAAAACGATGTATCAAGCTTGTCTCTGATTTTTCTCCAAACTGAATGAGCCAGTAAGAGTCTAGAGCTATAAAATGAAGGTGGAGAGCTGATGAGAAATGTTTGAGGTCAGAGTGAGATCTCGGACTTTTGATTGCATACGTTTGTAGCTCTTAGCGCTGTTTGAGACATTGTTGAGATCTCGTCTGTAACTCGGTGTGAGATTATGGGGTGTTTTTTTTTCTTCCAGGAGAAACATTTGAGAAGCAGGAAACTTCAGCATAAGTCTTGAGTGTGTTGCTATGCAGTTTTGGATGGTAGCTAGTGTGTTCTGAATGTTCTCTAGTGGTTTCTGGGGTGTTGCTAGGGTGTTCTATGTGATTTAGTGTGTTGCTAAGGGGTTCTGTATGATTGCTAGGGTGCTCTGAATGTTTCCTGGTGGTTGCTTGGGTGTTCTAGTGGTTGCTAGTGTGTTGTGAATGGTTTTTAGTGTTGCTATGCAGTTCTGGATGGTTGCTAGTGTTCTTAAATGTCTCTAGGGGTTGCTAAGTGGTTGCTTGGGTGTTGTGAATGGGTTTCATGAGTTACTCTGCAATTCAGTATATTTTCTAAGATGTTCTGAATGTTCTCTAGTGGTTGCTATATTGTTGCTAGGATGTTGCTGGCATGCTTAGTGTAAATAGACATTAAAGAGATCTATTTTTTTTTTCATTCCTGCAGGATCTGAGTGATTGTTGACATCTCTAGAGGAGATTAGGGGAAAATCGGAGAAACAGAAGGTTAATCTTGATGCTCTTAAGGAGAAGAAAATGTAGATGTTAATTCAGATGTAATTATATGATTATTAATTTAATTTTAAAATAATTTTAGTTTAGCTGTCGGGCTAGTTTTTGCGGTGTGTTCCACACGTCAGCAGAAGTTCGGCGAGAGAGAGCACTCTGATTGGCTGTTCAGCTACGTTTCTGCTAGCGAATCTGTGCACGAAAAAAAAAGTGAAGTGATAAAAGCAAGCAAACGACAAAGTCAAGAGGGCACACATATAAGGCTGTTCTCATTTCGTCACTTTTCTCATTGCATTACGCGAAAATTTGCAAATATTGCAAATACTTTAGCGTCCTCATTAGCTTGCCCGCCTTCCATGCTAGAAATGCCGCTCGGGGCGGGTCAAGTAGAACCGAAGGGGTTACATGTTCAAGCGCAGCTTTTTGACCCAGTTGCAGGCGACGTTAGGCGAGAAAACAGTCGGCTTTCATCGCCGCTAGTTCTTTGATCCTGCCTTGGTGTGTCCCGGCCTTAATGTAGTTCAGAACCACATTATATATAACAAGCATTTCGAGGTCTTTGTTTTGTGTCTATGTAGAGTTTGATGTGTCTGTGATGGACAGGAACTTACACAGATGTGTGCGTGAGCAGGGTGCAGAGCCAGCGTGAGGTTTGGCAGAGAGGGGGATGTGTAGAGATTCAACAGGGACATGGACCCCTCTGTCTGTAGGACGCCCCTCGGATGTGTAGAGATTCAACAGGGACATGGACCCGTCCGTCTGTAGGACGCCCCCCTGAGACAGACAGCGCTGGAGGAGAGACAGACAGAAAGCATTACATCAGCTCTTACGTAACGCAGCCGAACACAAACACAGCAACAACAGTACAGCATGAGATCGAGAACATCTGAAGAAGGAGAACCAGTAGATCTCCCATATCAATGTCGTAACCTTGCGTAAGCATTCGGACGGACAGATTTAGATATTGACACATGAACTTGCTCACTGCAGCAGTCAATCCATGTATGTGTGTGTGTGTGTGTGTGTGTGTGTGCACGCTTTAACTAGGTGTGATGTGACAAAATCACAACCAGAATGCATTCTAGAATTTATTAAAGTGTAAAATTAAAAGGAATGGAATTTTGGACCAATGGGATTTTCACTTTGTCCCTTTAACGCTTGATGGTTTCTAGAGTATTGCTATGCAGTTGCAAGGGTGTTCTAGGTGGTGGCTAGCATATTGTAAATGTTTTAGTGTGTTGCTATGCAGTTAAGATAGTTGCTAGGGTGTTCTGAAAGTTCTCTAGTGGTTGGTAGGTGGTTGCTAGGGTGTTGCGAATGATTTTTAGGGTGCTTGGGTGTTCTGAATGTTCTCTAGGTTTTGCTAGGGTGTTACCAGATAGTTTTTATAGTGTTGCTAGGGTGTTGCCAAGTGGTTGTAATAGTGTTCTATGTGGCTGCTAGGGCACTGTGAGAGGATTTTGTGTGTTGCTGGGTGGTTGCTAGAGTGTTATGAATGTTTGCCAGTGGTTGTTAGGGTGTTGCCAGGTGGTTGCTATAGTGTTCTATTTGGTTGCTAGGATGTGAATGGTTTTTGTGTGTTGCTGTGTAGTTCTGGGAGGTTGCTAGGGTGTTCTGAATGTTCTCTAGTGGTTGGAAGGGTGTTGCCAGGTAGTTATTATCGTGTTCTATGTGGCTGCTAGGGTGTTGTCAGGTGGTTGTTATAGTGTTCTATTGGCTGCTAGGATGTTGTGAATGGTTTTTGCGTGTTGCTATATGTAGTTCTGGGTGGTTGCTAGGGTGTTCTGAATGTTCTCTAGGGGTTGCTAAGGTGTTGCCAGGTGAATGTTACAGTGTTCTATTTGGTTGCTAGGATGTTGCCAGCTGGTTGTTATAGTGTTGTATTTGGTTGCTAAGGTGTTGCCAGGTGGTTGTTATAGCATTCTATTGGCTGCTGGGATGTTGTGAATGGTATTTGTGTGTTGCTATGTAGTTCTGGGTGGTTGCTAGGGTGTTGCCAGGTGAATGTTATAGTGTTCTATTTGGTTGCTAAGGTGTTGCCAGGTGGTTGTTATAGCATTCTATTGGCTGCTGGGATGTTGTGAATGGTATTTGTGTGTTGCTATGTAGTTCTGGGTGGTTGCTAGGGTGTTGCCAGGTGAATGTTATAGTGTTCTATTTGGTTGCTAAGGTGTTGCCAGGTGGTTGTTATAGTGTTCTATTGGCTGCTAGGATGTTGTGACTGGTTCTTGTGTGTTTCTGTGTAGTTCTGGGTAGTTGCTAGGGTATACTGAATGCTTGCCAGTGGTTACTAGGGTGTTGCCAGGTGGTTGTTATTGTGTTTTACTGGCTGTTAGGATCTCGTGAATGATTTTTTTGTTTGTTGCTATGTAGTTCTGGGTGGTTGCTAGTGTGCTCTGAATGTTCTCTAGAGGTTGCTAGGGTGTTGCCAGGTGGTTGTTATAGTGTCCTATGTGGCTGATAGAGTGTTGTCAGTGGTTTTCTATTGTGTAGCTGTTCTGTCCCTTAGTAGTTTCTATGTGGTTTCTAAGGTATTGTGAATGGTTTTTGTGCTATGCAGTTCTGTATGGTTGCTAGGGTGTTCTGAATGTTCTGAAAGTAGTTGTCAGGTGGTTTCTAGAGTGTTTTGGGTAGCTGTTCTGCACCATGTCAGTCAGTATCAGTTAACGGTGTGAGTGTTAATGATATGATGTCATCTTTAGGTCATAGTTTTGAAGCTCATGAAGCAGTGAAGTCTCCCGCTGTAGGGCTGTGAGGATGAACTCAGTCGGCTGTGTGCCTACAGGAGAGGAGAGGAGCGTTCTGGCCCACGGCCCGTGAGGAAATGCTTGGGCAGAACTTCACAGCAGAAACAAACCTCACCATCCCAGAGCCCCTCACCCCCTTCCCCAGCCACCAGCACAGCCAAAACCACAGCGGAAAAGAGCTGTCACAGTTAGTTCAGCACAGCACCGCCATACACACACACACACACACACACACCTCAAACTCCATCGAAGTCTTCTACATGCTGCACTGATGTTCTGATGTGATTTTAAAGGCGGTGTTTGTTTGTCAGGCTGATGGTATGAGTGCCTTGGGACGGGGTCTGTGTACTCTCGGCTCCAAACAATGGTTCATTGGGGGCCCGACTCCTTCACCCCATAGTCTGATAAGTGTAATGAGACGTGGGACCGTGACCGTTTTATTTCGTTTTAGTTTTGTGGGCTGTATGCTTCAGTTCTCAAGAATGCAATCAAAGCAACAAAACTGCACGCAAGTGCATGAAACTCTGATCCACAGCTGCCGCTGTGCTGTAGACTACTAACCTGTTTGTTAAGAGAGGATTCATTCTGACTTTACAAGCAAAATATTTCACAAAAACAACAGTTCATTAAAAAGCTCAGAGAAATGCTTATGCAACATTTGTTTGCCGATTTGCCACTTGCTTTGATATTTTGTTAACCAATGTCATGACATTCAGACATTTTTATTAATACTTGTTGCCCACAATTTCGTAATTTCTCATGTGACGAGGTTAGTCATAACAGAAGCCATATAGAGGTTTTGTAGAGTGGCAAAAATCGCCTGTTTCATTTTGGTGTATATATGGGGAATAATACATATATATGCATATATTTTGGTGGCCGAATCAAATTAAATTTACAAAAGATTAAAAAAAAACCCACAAAAGATATAAAACACATAGAAAGCATATTAAATGCAAGTAAAGTGTCTGCTTTAATGTTTCAAATAACTTTTGTGAAAATAAAATGTCAAAACAATAAATGGGTAAAACAATGTTCCATTGTCATTCAGCATAACAGATATATTTATGTAAAAACAAAACAATATATTTATTCTGGCCTGTACTTATTAAAATATATAAATAAGTGAATAAAATACTAAAATACTACTAAATTGTATTTATATATGTATTATGTATATATATATATATATATATATATATATATATATATATACCACTTAAATTGAGTTTATAAACAGAAGTTTAAATGTATAAGAGAGTTGAGCATATTTGGTACCTGTAGTTGAGTGGTGCTGGACCGGTATGACGCTCTGTTCTCATTGTTGCACAAGCCAATGGGTGAGCTCGGTCCAGAACCTGCAGGGCTCTCATTGGCTGATGAATCTAGAGGGGAGGAGATCAGGAAATAAAAAAAAAAAAGAGACAACAGCGGTCAGCTCTGATACTGACTGTGAGCTCCGCCCACAGCTGAAGCTCATTGGTCTGTCTATCAAACATCAGATGTATGTCCTGATTGGCTGAGATTCTATCTCTTCACATACAGTAGTCTGCTGCAGATGAGTGTTTTCTGATATTAGGACTGTTTTCTGTGTTTCAGGTTGCAGGTAGATGGTCGTTTGCTCACCTGTTAGTTCGAGAGTTCGTTTTTTCAGTGGCGTAACGAGGACGCTGCCGTCTCTGCGGCGTATGGCAGCGCTTCGTCTCTCAGAAACCTTTTGCTTGAGTCTGGAGCGCACCTTCAGATTGGGCTCAGACGCTGAGAGGAGAGACAAAACTGATTGGGTTAGTCATTATTTCAAATAGTTAAACTCACTTAATTTAGTTTTTTTTTTTCAGTAAATGAGACTTAAAGTCATTTTGATTCTCAAGATGTATCTAGATTGAGGAATGTTTAGATATTTGTACTGGTAAACAATGATAAAAACTTTAAATAAAACGGCTCTCTGGGCATTGTTAAAAAAAATGTCACATGAGACAATTCAGTTTATTTTATGACCTGTCAAATATAGATATAAAATGTAAAAAATAAAAATGAATGTTAAAATTAAAAAAAATAGAGATCTCAACGCACATATACACATATACAAGTGTTCTACACAGAACCTGCTGAGTGAATGTGTGGCCGCGGTCCAGCCGCACTGAGGAATTCTGGGATATCTAGCAGCTGTAATGAGGTAAGAAGTGGAAGATCAATTCCACCGTTCATCTGGAGGACATTAAAAGCATCTCCACTGGCTGTAGGAGTCCAGGACCTGCCAGCCTGCCAACCACAAACCTCCACGGTAGCCGTGTTAAAACCAAGACTGAGATATCGGCACCGACAGAGAGAGCAAGAGCGAGAGAGAGAGAGAGAGAGAGAGATTTGGCTTTAAAAAAAGGGGAAATCCTCCTTTTTTTGTCCTAACATTCCCTGGATTTTCCTCAGGCTGGGATGGAAAGCCAGCCGCCCGATTGACGCCACCTACCGCCGGTCTGACCGCTGAGTGGGCATCAAACATACACACATCAGGAGCCTGACGTGATTACAACACACTGCGGGCTGAGAGCAGAGATGAAACGAGATGAGGAATATGAAAATAAACACACACACACACACACACACACACACACACACACTCACTTCCTATTGGCAAGACTGAGTCGTGAGAATATACTACAGTGTTACAAAAATAATAATAAAATAAACATTTATAACTTTAAATAAGTAAATAAATAACATTTATAATAAAAATAAAATGAAATGAAATTGACTACCCCTAAAAGATAACTACAATAAACCCCAAAAGATAACTTAAATAAAATAAAATGTATAACAAAATAATAAAATTGAAATTAAATGTAATCGTATTTATAAAAAAAATAATTTAAATAATAATTAAAATAAAAATATTTTTTAATTATTAAAAATTCATTAAAAAAAAAACAACAACTACAACCTACCTAAAAGATAATAAAATAAGATAATAATATTGATTATATAAAATA